GTAAAACAACCACTAAAACAATACTGTTATGTTTCCTTCAATTTAGATTTTTTTATGAAGTTTGTTCTATATGGAAATAGTTAAGTAGACAACCACTAAAAATGCAAATGCATTAGATAGTTTTTTTGTCCTAGGAAAACTTTTCCATTGTACACTATGATAGTCATAATAAGACTTGTTTACTGGGTACAAGTTCGTTTACTCGTCCTCCTAAACTAAAGTGAAGTGGGAATCGAACGTACAACCTGATAGTTGAAACTCGATCAGCTTAAACACTAAACTGCTTCCTATTAACAAATGAGCCAGGGTTTCTCCAGTTTAAAGATTTGAGATTTCACTTTGAGCGTATCGAAGTTAGATAACTGAATTAAATTCCATTGATCTACATTTCCAACCTCATTCAATTTACAGCTGCTTCGTCTTCATGCAGTACATTAACGCACATATCACTGGTTCTTATTTGTTTTCAGTAATTCTCGCCAAGTGATTTTTGTGGTATGTAATAAGTCTATGTCTCGACTGTACTGTCGTCACATAAATCCAGACAATAATCTTTCAGAATTACATGTACTGAGTTTAAAGTATATACACATCCATTAGAAATACTAATTATTAATTGTGCAAAATGGTGTTTAATTAGCACTGCACAGAAGGGGTTCCACATTAGGATCAAACAGCGATTGTACGCTACTTGCTAATCAGTGGTCATCTAACTAGGATCAATCTCTAACGATTGTCATCTATTCATTAGAACTGATAATGCTCTAACATTTTTATGATCTTTTTACCTGAAATCACACTAGAAGTTTTTGTGATGCATTCAATGATATCTTTTACGGTTTCATTCTTATGACTTGATTATCGTCATCATCAATTCAGATTGATATTGCCATTGATATTCACATATTAATGATATGTTGGTCATCTCATTTATCAATTATATGATATAAGTTATGATTGATATTAAAACTTGTGAGATTATTAGTTGTAGCTTATTTGATAACACAGATAAGTAGATAAAGTTAGAATGTGAAATCTGTAGCGGTTTTTTTCAACCTACGCGTTACGAATTAACTGTTTTTGCAAATTAATATAAAATGATTCGTTTGTAGATGGATAGTTTAGATGTGGGACGAAAAAATTGAAAACTAAATAAAACTTAAATAGTTCTAGAAAATTAAATGAAGTGAAAAGCAGAGGGAACATATTTATTGGTTCTGATATGTTCACCGATAGAAAATTCTTGATTAGAATACTACTGGAGTTAAATAAGCGATCTATCATTTACTGACTTTGCTTTCTCCAGTATTCATATACTTCAATGTTTTTTTCGCCTCCTATTTTATAATCAGTTACATCTGTCTTAATAGAAATAATGTGTCATAACTCCGTAAACAAGTCACCGAATTGTAGAGTATAAAATAATTTCGTTAGTTGTACTACTCATATAGTGTAAATAATCAACCTTTTAAGATATAAAAATGTTAAAGAAAAATATTTTTGTTTTCTGAAGGAAAGGATTAATTCTGTTTAGATAGAACAGATGCAATGTGATTAAAATTGGAATCGTCCTATTCAAGACTCATCAGCTGTATATACTTGCATCCAGAGTTAGTGTCCGATCCAGGATTCGATCCACCTACAGCATCGACAACGAGATGATGCAAAACACTACAGATTAGATTGAAATTCATACCCGCTACACAAGTCAATGCTAACTAAACTTCCTAAGTCAACCATTCATGAACATGACTATCATCATACTTCTCCAGGACGTAATTGCTGATAATTTTGTCCAAAACAATAATAGGAGCTTCTCAATCAAACTATGGTGAACAAAACATAATCGACAGTTTAAATATTTCATTTGGTTGCCCAATTAAAACCCCTTCTTAACTAAATTAAAATAACTGAAAATAAAAAAGTATAGTTAAACACTAGTAGATTTTACTTTTTACTCAAAAGTAATTTATCACCACGTAGAAATTTTTCTTAGTTATCTGGTAATTCTTAAAATAATCTTTTCTTTTTCAAACAGGATTTCTATGAAATATATGAATAATCAACTAAGTTATATATGTTTCGATGAAAAATTCACCACATCGTTCTATCGATTTTTAGTATAATTGACATATAAATTAAGGATAGACTATAAATTTCGGTCAAACTTAGGTCAAGTTAGATTAGAGGCAAGCAAAGGGTTACAGTCTATTTCTGTTTGTCTACGAATGATGATTAATTATAGTTTTTTTTTAATAAAAAAAACATTGGATAAGTTAATTTAGTCCATTAAACTTCCACTAACGAAATAATTCTGAAATATAAAGACCTGAATAAATGAGAGACAATCAATGTAATGTAGTCATCGTTCAATCACTTTTGCTCAAAAATTTATCACTTGCCAAATAATTCACGTACAAGCCAAGATATGATAATTTAACACGTTTATCAATGATAAGTTTTATTTTTACTCTAAAATGATCAAATCATGTAACCAAAGTTTTAATAATAGGATTATGGAAACTTTTTCCGCCATAAAATATATGAATATTTTCATGTTCTTTGTCAATGATATAAATATTATGTATTACCCTCAATAATCGGTGACACGATTTTGTATATGGTTGTTAATTTACTTCTATCCTGAATTGTTATGGTCTTTTCTTCTAATCACTTCATTTCTGTTTCAATCCAATTGATGATATTTTTTAGATTCTTTGTGATTTTCTGTGTTCATCATTGTTGGGATGTTCACAAAAATATCCTGTGTCACGTGTCATTTTCCTGCTGGTCAATATTCACGGTAGTCCTAACTGTATAAATATGCATTTGTCTGTAAATTATCATTCTCATCCTTATTATCCTCCTGACCCCATAAACAATTCTCATCTAACGGTTCGTGTTCTGATATATTGAAGATTGGGTAACAGTATTGTGGTCGTACTGGGATATCTGCAGTTGGTCAGTCGGTAGGATTTAGAGTAGCCACTCAGCGCTCCACAATAATCATCGACATGCATGTTTGTTTTTGTATCTCTCAGTGTAAAAATTTACTCTAGTTAGAGAATGTCTACGGTAATTTCTAACTACGATCAACTGGGATTCTAACGATAACTGTGTATATATGGTAGCAAAATAATATATTTATCAAACTGATAATCAAATCAATCAATTAGCAGCAAATGAACAGTGAGGAAACACAAATTTAAAAAAGAGTTACAGTGATTATCATTTTACAAAAAAATTATCATTGCTTAACAAAACTGGATCATTTGAAGTCTGCTCAAGCAGATTGAATGTTGTGTGTAGTGAACGTTTAGATTTGAAACAATGTTTAATGGAATCATGTATCTTTAATAATTTCTTACTAAACATTTTACAATTGTAGTCAGAAACACTTATTTGAAATATTTATCTCATTGTGGTTGATTCGAATTACGGGTTAAAAGCTAGGGTAAAGTACTATTTAGGTATGAGCCACTTACCACTGAGAATGCAACTTTTAGGTTTTTGCCCAAAATTCAAGTATCAAGTAATAGTCACCCGTAAAAATGTCTTTGAGTAGTCCTTAGATAATTTTAACTGATAAAAATAATAATTTTTGCCGCCATAAAGTAAAAACAAGAGTATTAACTGTTTCCAATGCTTATTCCTTCCCTGTATTTTATATATAAAAAGGACAAATCGACACTAACCCTAAACTTTTAATCCTGAAACAAACTTCAACTTTGTGGCTTTACATTTTATGAATAAGCTAACCAGGTAGATACCCCTTTACTCTCAGACCATAGAGTTGTAAGCCATTATCATGAATTCCTAACTCTACTAGATTCATCAGTTATGTTGGATGTGCTTATAGTTTGCAGTAATATTGTCTTCGTTTTTGTAAACTGTTGATTTGTTAGGGATATTTTCTGATTGAATACGAACTATCCTCAAATTGGTCGCGCTTATTATAATCTTGTCCTTTTACTATATATACCTTTGCCAAATTTAGTAACAAAAATCGGAAAAAGACCTCGGCAGTTTACATTAATAATTTTTTAGAAATTTGCATGGGGAAGGGAAATAAAAAACGAACAACTAATAACTGTAACAATAATAATGCGAACATCTGAAAATAACCTTCACAGTTTTTCTATGAAATCTGGATAAAATCGATTATTTTTATAACATATTTTGGTTAGTGGATGCCATAAGAGGGAGCGAAATCAAACAAATGATCTTTCCCTGCTCCATTTCGGTGGAAAAAATCTTGATTTTCGTGTTATCTCTGTTGTACTTAGTGAGGTAAAGCGTAAAAAGACTAGGAACTTCACTGATACTTTGTATGATGACGAATGTTGGGTCTCAGTCTATTTATTGTTCTGTATCCACAAACCAGTTGAGATAATATCAATCTTTTCCATTGACTAGTCCCACAAAAAGCGAACATTAAATTTGCTAGGGAGTTGTGCAAGTATAACTGACTTCAGATAAGAAATTTAGTCAATAGAATTCATCATGAAATCCTATCTTCTTTGTAATTATAGTAGCCTTCAAATTTATAGAAAATCTTACGTACATTAGTGTGTTAGTTTTGTTACTGAGTTACTAATATTGATTGCCGATTCCAAATGAATAGACTTATCTCGATAGAAATAGTTTTTCTACTTCATAGAAACTTATTGATTATTGGGAAGTAGGCGATGTCCTGTTTCCTTAGCTCGTAGTGCTGATCAAATTCGGTTGATTGGATTGAAATATGGTAACTAGTGACTGCTCGAACAGCTACATGGTTAAGTTTCAAACTGAAACAAAGTAACATGGAGTTGGATACCTGAAAGATCATCATTTCCCCAAATATTTCAGGTATGTCTTACTGATGAGTACCAAATAATACACCTAAATTCAGTGTATCTTGCCAATCCTCTCAAACTACCGAACATCAAAATACACTCATTTAACTAATTTTTCCACCGAATTTTGAAATTTCTTTGTTCAAATACAATCTTTTCTAGGCAATTCTACGGGAAGAAGCTGAAAGTAAACACCGATCACGTTCACAAACCTATCTAGATCCAGTGTCAGCGTCTAGAACACCAAGTGCATCGGTTGAACCGTCATTTAAACCACGTTTTGCAACTCATCAGTTTGCATGTAAGTAATTTGTATTTACTATAATAAATATTATAATCTTACGTGAAAAGTTTGGTGGAGTTGTATTTTCTACACTGTACTTTAATTGTAAATCTTTCACTATGTTTCACTGACAACACTGTCACCAGAAAATTCAGATGAAAGTGTTCTTTGAGAGTTTTTCTGTTAATAACCACCAACTTGTTCGCTTGGCATACAAGTTTTCTTCATATTTATTTTGATCATCTATCTTCTTAACTTTATTCTTACATTTGTAGTTTTTTTTATGTATCAATAAACCTTATCGATTCCGACTTTTTTATTGACTAATAATCGACATGATCTTCTTTGTATTCCCAGAGGAGAATCAGTTTTGTCACTGACAGAATACATTGTTAGTTATATGTGAAGAGATTCAAATAGTTCAGTCCTATCGGGATTGTTTACTAATGATGAAATTTGTCTAGTAAGTATCACAATTAAACCACTTGGTTCAAAGGACACTATTCCAACAGAATCACTCTCTTATTTATCATCTCAAAATCATAGAATCACCATTATTTAATTTTCATTTATTTGTCTGTAAATATTATTATTGGTATAAGAGGGTGTTTGTGGAGATTATAGAATGTATGGAACCATATGTGCTCACTGCTGAACAGTCCTACACTGGAACAAAACAGTTGTCCAGTGCTTTCTACTTTTCATTGATGGTCTAGCTACTATCAGTTCCTAATTCCAGCTATGAAATTATTGTTATTATTATTATATTTTTGGCATGAAAATTCTAGGTTAATGGATTCTTTTTTGGTATCGCGTGTATGTAAACAACATTTTCATTTGTTCCAATATTTTGTTTTCCTACTTTTTCTAACTTACACCTACACCTTTTACATTCATAGAAGTTTGACTCAGTAGCTTGATAAAAATACGTTGAAATTGGTGCAAAAGTTACCGGATTCAAATATCAGCGTAAACACTAAAACTATAATGTAGGTATATCTAGCTATAATAAGTCCCACACAAGACATGATGCGCGTTCTACAATTCACCACTAGCCACAAATCCATCTATTCTACAAAAACAATGATAATTTTGTTGATTAAACACTTTTTCTTATTGAAGTAAGTATAAAGTATTTTCATAGTTTATATCACGGATCACTCTTGATTTAGACGACCAGTGGAAATTATGAAGTAATGGGCAACTACTGTATCTTAATTGCAATTGGAACTCACGATCTCACTGTGGACCAAACGTAAAACCTTCGATCTTGTTAACAAGAGCCTAACTTCTAGACCTTTAATCTGGAAGTCAATGGCGTGCATTTCTAATTCCAACCAACTTGAACTAGTGTGCAACTGTCATTACCCGAAGTGAGCAACTATGTACACGTGACATGGTTTATTTCCACTAGTTATGGCTTCATGTTAGAAATCTGGGAATTTCATCTCGAACTATTTCTTAAATCTATAAACGGTTGACTGAAATCTGAGTATGTCGTAATTACGAAGATATATATATATATATATATATATATATATATATATATATATATATATATTTCCGTTGTAAATATTTATGCAACCGTCTTTTCAATTATCAATTAATATTCTTTTACTGTTTATCGTCTAACTACTTAATTTCCTAATGATTATCGGTCTTTCACTTAACTGAGGAAGAGAGAGGTGTATATGAAATCAATGACTGTTTAATGAGTTTCCTCCGTTCATTTATTCTTTTCTTATCGTTTTCAATCATGTGACCTATAAAATATGAACAATAAACATTATTTATTTTATATATATACTTTGAGATTGTTTTAACTAATACTGTTATGTATTAATTACTCTTTTAAACCTGTTTCATTCAATCATCTTCTATGACTTTTTTGTCGCCGTAGAAGATAACTGAATTTCGATGTAAAATTAAGTAGACGTAGGATAAAAAAAGGAGATGAATAGACAAAATCGGACTCACGCAATATGTTTTTTCTTTTGGCATTTGTTATTTCTAGACAATTAGCGAAAAAAGTTTCCTCTCAGAAACACTTTTGTGTGTATTGATTTTATTGGTTCTCTCGTGAATTATTAGAATTGCATGCTTCTTTTTTGTAATTTTACACCTTGATTGATTGACCGTAGTAAGATAGTCATTGAAGACTAAAAAGCACTGGACAGTTGTTTCGTTCCAGTGTGTGACTGAGCATTCCCGTGCTGTTTGGACATTGGATTTAGAAACTTTTGGTCTCTCAGTGAGCGCTTACTCTTTTGACCAGTAAATCGGCTTCCAACAATTTACATTTCTAATGTCAATGAATTCTTGATATTGTTCGACTTATGTTCCAATAGCATTAGAAGTTAGCTACCGTCTCACAACCAACATGATTGAAATTAATTGGTTACGTGCTGTCAGTAGAACTTCGGGAATTATCCCTTGAAGTTCGTAACTGGTGAATACACGAATATTATTATTATTATTATTATCTCCTCAGCTATCTACTATCTACTTCGATGTACAATGGTGTAACATAAGCACATTTGAGTAGGGATAGTTAAAAGCGACCAAACTAAGGCTCTTGAGAAAAATCCATAAAGTTATCGAACTGGTAATTGCTTATGTTTGCAACTTCTTTGCACTAATTTGTGTCTGTGCAAAGTATGAGAAGTTCATTGTTACGTGGTTGTAGGTAGTTGGAAGGAACTAGATTTCCTGTTATTTGGAACTCGTAAACAAGGCTAACCTGTATTCTTGAGCGAGCTAATGCTTGCTGTCGAATCGAAGCCAGCTATAGCCAGCTCCATAGTCTGAAACATAGCCATTAATATATTGAAGCATCGTCTAATCTATTGTATGACTGGCTTTTTAAATACTGGATCATCCCTGAGCAGAAACTATTGTTATATTTGTCCAGTCATTTAGTGCTTTTAGTGGCCCGGGATCTAACCTCAGTTTGGTCTTTTCTGATTACTGCTGAGATATACACGTGGATATATATATATATATATATATATATATATATATATATATATATATATATATATATATATATATATCGTCAATCCTCGTATATTTCATCGACTTAACTCGCATTGGTGAATAACGGAATTAAATAAGTCAAATACGAGAATGGGTTTCAAATACATATATTTTGTACAATCATTGATCTTGACAGACAATCAGAGGAACGAAGAGAAGAGAGAGGAGAGAGACGACGCGCGGTGAAGAAGGCTTGTGAGCCAACTCCCTATAACCAACCGTTAATCGATATTTATAGTCACACAAAAATAAGGTACAGACGTGTGATGATTAGGATAGTGTACACACACATGCTCATATACAGACAGTCAGGGTTGATTAATGAATAATTAACAATGTCAAAACGTGACCCAAGAAGAATGGATAAGCTATGTGGGCTGAACATGGCAACCGACTCTACATTCTGATCTAAATCAAATTCAATCGATTCACTCTTGTCCCGGAGCTAAGTAATTGAAGGTAGATACTAGTTGTATTTTATATACATTTTGTATAATTTTGTTTGTGGATTTCTTACTTTGTACGAGGCATTTAATCAAGATGGGTACGGTGTTCCAGCCAGAAACAACTGGTGAAGCCTACTGAGGAGACCCATGAGTCCTTCTGGGACGGATCCCGTTTTTACGAGTCTCACAAACCCAACATGGGAATGTAACTTAGTGGACACTGTTATAACGTGTGATCCGCCTATTAGAGAGCAGCGTAATATCGATCGATACATTGACGCATAAAATACGTGCGAGCAGCCTCGAGTTCTGATTGGCCTTGCTTCCCTGTCTAGCCCCGCCAGTTGAGTCCAGAGCACAAGTCTCAGCCTCGGTGATATGAATCATTATATTTCAAACATACTCTGTTTATATACCAAACAAACAGACTACATCGTACCATAAAATAGAAAGTAACATTTGTATAAGATTTGACCTCCAGGAAATGACACAAATAAATATTGACCAATAGGGAAATGACACGTTGGAATGTTGACCAATGGGGCAATGACACTATTTCTCATTCAGGAGTGGCATTAGATAATTTCTGGGGTATTTTCTGAATACCCCAACAGACACCACGGCCTCACGGGTCCTTGTATGCATAGTGGTATCGCACCAAAAGAGCAAGTAGAGAAGTTTGTGAATTTACCTGCCCTGGATATGTATAGTCTACTTGCATACTAGTTCACACACGGATGTTCATCCGAGTATCACATGGCATGCATGCAGGTATACACACCCTGTGAGCAAATATACGTTATATGCACACCAGTAATATACAGGTTTCACCCCATGCATCCCATAGTATACACATAGGTATGTTCACCCACCTGGGGGTTAGATGTATACTGCTGTCAAAGAAAACGTTTTTTCTACACCAGACTGGCTCTTACTCGTTATATGCATATCATTCACACGATGGCTACCGCCCCAGTATTTCCTGACACACACATGTGCATAAGCACTCTCTCAGGGGTGGTTATTGGTCATCTCAACCTAATATTTGCTACCACATCTTTTAATTATGTCTTCGATCTGAGAGATAGGCCACCAATTTTATTAGACATAGAGCAGACATTTTTGCAGCTCAACGTTTCCTTCATACGACACCGCATGCATACCCTTTGCATATGCCTATATACTTGAACTAAGTAGGTTCGAGAACCTCTGAAATTATTATACATGAGCATACACATCGGGTAGCTTGAGCGATAAAGTGAGCCCCGATTATAGAACGCAGGATTAGTCTGATACAAGAGAGTAGAAGATCGGTCTGATCTCTGCGACCGCCTAAATTGGCTAGCAAGGTTGCCCCCACTATCCAACAGCGCCACAATGAAGCCTTAGGTCAGGTTTTGCTGCCAATGAAAATGGGTTGGTCTCCGCAAATATACATATGTAGGAGTAGTATGTGAGGGGTTCAGTCATTTGTCTTCATTTATCAAATATAATTCCCTGACTAAATGTCTGTTTTTGTCGCTATACTAAGATAAA